TCTTTATTTTCCTTCATGTCTCTAATCTCTTCCGTTTCTTCTGGTGTCCCTTCTGCCTCCTCTCGATGTCGGTCCTTGACGTCTGCGTTGTTTCTCTTCTTCTTTTGTGCTTCTCTATAATTCTACCCAATCGAAGGATTCATTTATCTAATGCCCGTTATTGTTTTCTTCCCCATTTTCTGGAGGCCAGCTCTCAGATATCAGGACAAAATAATATAAAACATCGATCCTGAATGATGTTTTTAGAAGAATTAACTTTTGCTTTCTGTTGAGCAAATGTAAAATATGACCACAGGCACAGATCCATCTTTTTTTTCTTTTTTACCTCTCTAACCAAAACTAAACGGCCAGAAATAGGACGCAACATCAATTGGCAAAAGATGAGCTTAACACAATAATTGATGCCAATAGAAGGTACGTGACCATATGAAGCTTTTTGATAATATATTCCGTGCTCATTAAAAGAATCCAACGTGCACTGGGGCTGATCTCTGCAGTCTGACCGTAGGTGTCGGTCCCTCCAATCAAAGAGCAACGGTTCTCTTCTTATTCTGTTCCCGCTGACATAAAAAAACAGGACTCCATCATAGAAAAGGCAGGCGGGCCGATCTCTCCTCCCGCGGCGGCCTCGATGGGGAATAATAGCACGCAGCCACAGCACCTGCTGGGTGTTTTCGGAAGGGCTCGGACCGCAGGGGAGGAAAAACCCAATCCCCGCCGTCTCCACCTTTTTTCTGTTGCTCAGATCCGTTGCTTGTGGTCCAAAATGAACCTTTTCTTCTCCGGATGAAAGGGAAGCACCCTCAGCAGAGCCGCCGCCAGTGCCGACGGCTAAGTGGAGGAGCGCTCGCGCCGGCTGGACGACAAGGCGTGGAAACCACAAAGGAGCGGGGACAATATCGTAAGCCTTTTTTATCCCGACTTAAATCTGTGTCCTGCTCGGAGACGAGGACGCCGGGAGCTGAAGCCTTTTCGAACAAAGCACTTTGTTGCAGATTCAGAATAAACTGCCGTATTGTAGGTGTGCTAAATTACTAAATACACCATGAAATAGCTCCTTTTACTTCCCCAAAGCTGAAATTTCAATATTTATGTATCGACACGGGATGACGTGTAAAGTGCAACGAGACAGATGGTGCTCGGGACCCACGGAGAGGCGGGTCCGCTCCAAAGGACGGCGTAACTGGCTCCTTTCATATCTCCTCCCTGGCGTGTTGTCGGGCCTCGATGTCTCCCCAGCAGAGGCTCATTAAAGCGGGTGCAGTGGGCGCCCAGAAGCATCCATCACAGAGAGGACCCCCCCCCCCCCTCAGCAGGAAGCTGCTCAGTGACGGTCCACAGCGTCCCATTGACAGCTGGAGACGGGCCGCGTGTGACCACGAGGGGAGCGTCCATATGGGAGGGGGGGGGGGGGGGGAAAAAAAGTGGGCCCGATCCTTTTTTTAAAGGGAAATTCCCTGTGTGTTAGTAAATGAGATCCAAAGGTCCTTTCACAGCGGAATGAATACGATAAATCAAAATGATTCATGGGGTCACCCTCCCCACACAGCCCATGTGGGTTGAAGTTCTCTATCTCCCCGGAGAACCTCGGAGATGGACAAGTTGAAGAGGGAGCAACCGTGTCGGTTCTTGGCGAAGGGTTCACCCGGTGATCAGATTATCTCCGTCGCCCCATCGCCGTTCTCCCGGCCGCAGGGTGGGAGGGACGTGGAAATCTGGCCAAGTGGCTGTCAGCATGAAGAAAACGAACGCCCTCCTTTTTGAGTTTTCAGGCTCCTTTTATATTGTTACGCCGCCCCCCCCCCGGCCCCCCCACAGCCTCCTTCATCATCAACGTCATCAGGCCATTCAAATGCTTAACTCGATCCACCGCTTTGGTAAATGCACTTAGAAGTCTTAATGTGCGCTGAGAGGGGGGGGGGGGGGGGGGGAAGAAAAAATCCCAAAGCAACCTACTGAATATCAGATGCTGACCAGCTCGCGGTTTGAGAGCCGTCGGGACTCGAGGTTTCGCAGGGAAAGGAGTCGGTGGATGGATTGGCTCGGGAGGGGGGGTCACGGAGAACACGCCTCCCGAACGCCCTCAACTTGTGTTCAATCCCAGACAACTTTTAAAAGCAGTAAAAGTGTATTTTGTATTGCGGGTGGATTTGTTTGTTCCGTCACATTTCACTCTTTTGGGTCGTATACAAGTGTAGCTTATCGCCCGAAGTTGGCTGGGATGGACTCCAGCCCCCCCGCGACCCTGTGTGCAGGATAAGCGGTTTGACGATGGATGGATGGATGGATGGACAAGTGTAGCTGTTAGAGTTAATTCACTGACAAATATTGCAATGTTGCATTTATTCTGGGGGAGAACGTGATGAATTTGAATTGAAACCCCCGAACGGTCTGTTCAGCCCTTTTTTTTAAATCGTAACCTTCAGAATGTTTGTTCTTTCCACTCTTCTCAGTTTTTTCCGCGGCGTTGAGCTGGAAATGTTTGTTTGTGCCTCGCTGTATTTCCTCATGCACAAATTGAGTATTTACCGGCGTAAAGGCGTAAGTGGCCCACTCGCTCCGAAAGGGTCGGCCATTCAACCAGGCGCTCTCTCTCTCTCTCTCTCTCTCTCTCTTCCTTCGGCTCCCTCGCTCCCCATCCGCGTTCTGGTAAGAGCTTGTTTCCTCGTGTGTTCTGGGGTCAAAAGGCGGCGCCAACCAGTGGAGCACGAGTGTGTGAGTGTGTGTGTGTGCCCCCCCTCCCTTCCCCTTTAATTGGAGTGTACTTTGAAGATGATCGCCCTTCTCCGGGGAGGCTGACTTCATTAGCACCTCCTAAGTGTCCAGGCACGTTAGCCAGAATTGGGGGAGAAGCGCACATCGGGGGGGGGGGGGGGCGGGCACTTCAAATACTGAGTGGGATGTTATTTGACGCCCCCCTTCTCTTCCGAGGACACAACTCACGCCGGGCTCTAAAGTCATTTTGTCCCACTTGTTCCCACAAAGCGAGCGTTGTCATCACCCTTTTCCGTTTTTAATTGAAGTTTAAAAGTGAGAATGGGAGTCGTCGGGGGGAGAGAGACGCCACTGGCGTCGTGCCGGCCCAACGTGGTGCTGAAACACACCATCGTGAACGCAAGCCGCCCATCGGGCACGCATCTGGCGATCTGAAAGCGTTTTTAATATTCTCCCCTGCAGAGCGGAGCGTCGGGAGCGCGGCTGTGGCGTTTTAAGTAGAAGGAGGCCCATGTTTTATTAATCAGCACCACCATCAATGCCGGCCGTGGATTTGGGCTTTAATGCAAACACTCGTCTTCTCCCTCGGTGGCCCCGTTTTCCTTCATCTTCTGCTCCTCGCTTCTCGCTCTCGTCTCCATTTCTCATTCTCCTCACCCTCGTTCACCTTTTTGTGTTTGTTAATTTTTTCCTTATTTTGGTTTGGCTCATGCATCTTTTATTAAGAAAGAAATTTAAATAACGAAATGGATTGGGCATTGGAGTGATTCAGATTGCGGATGGTTTGCAAATCGCAAACACGTTTTTTTTTAACATCCATATGTGTTTTTTTTTTTTTTTTTCCGGATGAATCAAATCTTTCTGCAGGAGTAAAGAAACCTTAAGGCGGCTAAAGTCCACCCGAAGAATTCCTCCAACGTGCCTGAGCACTGAGAGAAGAGTCCTGCTCATCCCAAAGCACATGTAGACGCCTAAATGAATGAAAACACCACAGAAAGAATGCCGTGGATATTCCTGCTGCTTTTTGGAAAACGCAGAACACCAAGAAGTTTGAAGCCCGTTGGAGCCGAGCACCTCCTACAGAGACATTCAATCATTAAGAGCTTAGCATCAAAACTCCCACCTAAAATGTATGTATGTGCATGTATATTAAAAAACAAATAAGGGTCTTTTTAAGTTCAGTGTGAGCTGGCAGGCTGCTCTGACTCTGACAATGACTCTCAAGTGCCAACAATCCCCTCGGGGGTATTTTTACAGCGGTGGGGAAGCAGCTCGACCGGGTTAACGGTGACTAACAGTGACTCTGTCACTCCTCCGACTTCGCTTGGCTTCATTTTCTCTTAACGCACGACAGCAGCAGTAAACGTCTTTAAAATCAGGGATCTGATTGCTGGTAAAACCTCGTGCCACCTTTTTTACAACCTAACATGAGCCTTTTTACAGCAAATCGGATCTGACGTCTCTCTAAAAAAAGACCCGGCATTCACGCGTAGAACGTGCGGTCAGCAGGACCAGATGTTTGCATCGCAAGCGGTGTCCCTAAGCGAATGAACCGATCGGATTCGAGCGGCCGTGGCAGCGCGCAGGTCTCGCGGGCCGGAGGGCGATCCCAGAGCCAACCAATCACCTGACCATGATTGAGCTTTTCTTTATGGGTTTGACATTAGCTTGTGAGCTGCATGTCGCTCGTTGTGCACATCGCCCACCCGACTCGTGTTTTTTTTTTTTTTTTTTATTCCCCCCCCTCCGGCAGGATAAATCGCTTCGACCTTAAATGTGTTTGGTACAAGACCTTTTGCCGTGAAAAATGGTTGAGCGTTTTCATACATCCTCGTTGCCTCGGCCGTGCGTGGGGGGGAAAAAAACCCTTTGGCAATGAAACGGGAAGTTGTACTTGAATATCTCAGGTAGGTTCAGGGTCAAGGGTCGAGGCCTGAGAACATTTTAAAGGCCATTAATCACTATAAACCCGCTCGCTTGCATAACCTTTGGGCCGTTTGTCTTAGACCCCCCCGAGGAGGGAGGGTTCTCGCCCACTGTCCTCCCACCTGTGCCCCCAACGCGCTGGAACCGGTCTGTTGGATTTGACTGGTTGCAAGCTGGCATGAGCCAAAACGCTGATGCATCATCCTTGTATGTCGCAAAGTCATCTGTTTATACGTCTCTCATCGTTGCCCCGTGGCTATTTACGGCTGAGAAGAGAGTGCTTCCACCCCCCCCCCCCCTCAGACTCCCCCTCAGCTTCCATTGCTTCGCTTTTTCTTTTTACCACGGTTGCAAACAAGCTGCTTCGAATACTCGGAGCCTGGCAGTCGGCAAAGAGGCCGGATGTTTGATGGAGTTCACAGGAGCAGCCGCATATTTTGGAGGAATAAATTAGCAGCTTGGCTCCTTGCTGTTGTGCCAAGACTTCTGGGAAGTAATCCAGCACCAGGGAAAGACAAGGTTTGGATGCCATATTGGATCCACCATAATGTGAGGTTAATTGAAATGGAAATCCTCGCTGCCTCACCCAAAAAATGAATACCGTTCTCCAGACTGTGGGGGTGAAGAACTGTACGTATGACCGGAAATATTAAATTATCCACGCCCGGATAAATTATCATGAAAAACGCATTGACCTGGTTGAATCCTTGCGGCGGGCCACACTGTGACGCGTCCTCCTCGTCCTCGGAAGAGGACGCCGGGCGTTTCCTTCCCGCGGAAACGGATGGAGGGCAGCGGGCGGCGGTGACCCGGGCATCCACGTGGTCTGAGCCCTCGTCGTGTCCTGGACTTCACGTTCTAATAATGACTAATCTGTTTGCAGACGCCAGCTCGCCCCCATTAGGGAGATTTATAGCCTCGCCAATTTTCCGTATTCCAATTTGCTCAGGTCAAAGTAACCGTTCACAATTAGACGCAGTAACCGTCGCCGCCCGCCTCTCTCTGGTCGGAGGTGCTGTACATACAATACAGACCTTCTCTGGTTAAACTTTGCCAGGCATCCAAGTCGCTTAAAACTGCCTAATAATGTAAGATTTTTATGTAGTGCCTTTAGTTCTAACGCTATGATACAGATGTTAGCACCATCCAGTGGAAGCTGAACGTCAACGATTAGCCCTCGTCTCGGTTTCCTTATTTCTAATGGGACATTTTTAATTTTCAAAGAAGAATTCATCTTCCCTTTCGTTAACAAGCCAGCATCCATCACACATGTTGGAACTGGTTCATGTACCAGACTGCATCCCCAAAAGGAGCCTTGAGGATTAACCAGCGGAGCCTTGTACGACAGTTTGATGGACAGCAATCCTCCATGTGCTCTGCTTCAATAATGTCTACTCAGTTCTTGTGTTGTGCGAACCCTCTGTTTGACTCGAGGCTGTTATCCACTCCGGCTAATCGCAAAACGCATCCGAGCCGAGGGAAAGGAAAGGAAAGGAAAGGATGAGGGGAGGAAATGGGAGAGACGGATCTGAGGACCCGCTGGCTTCCTGTTTTGGTTGGTTTTGGCTGGTCCTGCGGTCTCCGGTGTCTCAGCTGTCCGTCGGAATCAGGGGTGTCATGCAGAGCGGCGGCCGCTGCCGGACGGCGTCCGGACAGGCCGGAGACGTGGTGGGTGACGGAGGAACGAGCGAGCAACCAACAGGTTTTCTACAAGTAATGCTGCTTTTTTTTTCTTGAGGCAATTTTAAAAGCAGATGCAGGAATCAGAAAATATTAATTTTTTCATTTTTGACATGCGTGCGTGTGCGTGTGTGGGCACAATCTGGTATTTTGAAGTAAAATGTACCTGCACCAGGTGGTAGGAAGAAGATAAATGCATGAAGCGATTGCAAAATGCAACAACTTCTACACTGTCTGACATGATGCTCATTTAGTAGTACTAGTAGCAGTAGTACTAGTAGTACTAGTAACCCCATTTATTTGAAGAATTAAGATGGTGTTATTTTCATCGATATAAGAGTCAAACCAACGCTGCCTGTATTGTGTCGGTTCTCACTGACTCTGTCCACAAATGTTTGCTTCTGACCAACGCTTTTGTGCAGGCGTTTTCAAAGGGTTCTTTGTTGGGCTAATGGTTCTATTTCAGAAGCCCGTTCGATCAAAAGAGTCTTTTTTTTTTTTGGGAGGACCTACTTCTCCGGCGTTTGAGTGAATGTTAAAAGCCGCTGGCCCACAAAACCTGTGACCGAAACCGGCATTTTTGTCACAACCCGGCGACACTGTGAAGCCACGAGCACCCGTAGAACCCGCTGGGTAGCGTCCTGGTTAGCCCTCCTAAAAGGTGGACCTCATGAGAGGCTGTGGGTGGTCGTCACGGGGGGGGGGGGGGGGGTCTGGGTTGAAACGTTCACAGGAGCTTCTCCGTACAACCTTCTATGTTGGAGGAAGATGTCGCACAGGCGTATTAACGATGTATTAACGAAGCGTGAGACTACAGACCCGTCTTTGATTGACCCTTTCTGCTCACTTCTGTCTGTTGGCTCACAGCTATGTTATTATATATACAAACACACAAACACGTCTGTGGTGGAGCGCCGTCGTATTTGTAGCTGTACTCGCCGTGCAGTACAGACGACAACGCGCTTACAGGTTGCAGCTGACGATGGAATCACCGTCGATCAGGAATTAGCGTTGCTGACCATTTTCCGTTTACTTACGTTCTCTCCCCAAATAAATAACCAATGCATGTTAAACACAAAGGCTTCAGGCGGGTCGACGATGTTCGCGCTGTCTCTGCTGCAGCAGGCGGACAGCGAGTGAAACGTGGCCCGGAGTCCGGCTACCAGTAGTTTCTTTTTATTGACCTGTCAGAAGTGAGCTGACGCTTTGAGCAGAAAGATTTACAGGCTCCATTTAGGGGCGGGATTGATTTCTCTCAAAGGCAGCTGTGGAGAGCTCGGAGAATGTAGAACTGTCTCCTTGATTGATTGCTGCTTTCTTTCAGTTTTTGGTTTGACTTTTCTCCCTGTGTGTTGCTATATTTTGTCACCTTCCAGGATATTTGCTGTGTATGTGTATTAGAAGAGGTTTTATTTTAAGAGTGAGCAGGTCCTAAAATCTCTCTTTATGTGTTGAACCAATAACCGGGCGACAGTTTCCAAGTACAACTTTTTTTTTTTCTCACTGATAACAAACCGAAGTGATGATTTGGCGGCGCAGTATCGCCGATACCCTCCCAGGGCATTATGAGCTCTGGTGAAACGATCGAGAGCGTCAGTGCAAACCAAAAGGCTTCCTGAAGGGCCCATTTAATGGCTGGATACTTTCTCTGTCTAAATGTCCACAGTAAAGATGTAAAAACCCAAAACCCGAGCGCCATTTGTGGGCCTTCGGGGAAGCGTTCCAGTCGGCGCAGGCAGATTAGTTTGATCCCCTCTCACGACCCCGCGGGAGCCGATTCTCGCCATCTTTTGACGCCGCCTCCGTCTCTCTCTCCCTCTGCAGAGCACCTGAAGGTGGCCCTGGAGGAGTACATGGTGAGGTTGCCCAAAGTGCGCATCCTGAGGACCAAGAAGAGGGAGGGGCTTATCAGGACCCGGCTGCTGGGGGCCGCCGCCGCCAAAGGGGAGGTCATCACCTTCCTGGACTCCCACTGTGAGGCCAACGTCAACTGGCTGCCTCCGCTGATGGGTGAGCGGCGCCAAAGCGCGCAACTGGTGTCCGATGTTGAAAAGAGGCCTTAAAGCCGCACAGATCCAGGAAAGCGATCTTTGGGGGACGCGACGTCTATAGCGATTAACCGCCCACCGACCCGTCTCTCAGACCGCATCGCCCAGAACAGGAAGACCATCGTGTGTCCGATGATCGACGTGATCGACCACGACAACTTCGGCTACGAGACGCAGGCGGGGGACGCCATGCGGGGGGCGTTCGACTGGGAGATGTACTACAAGCGGATACCCATCCCCGCGCGGCTGCAGAACGGCGACCCCAGCGAGCCTTTCGAGTGAGTACGGATCCCTTTTCTGGATTGTTTGTGAACCCCGCGCGGGGATTTCACGCCCGCTGCCCTGTTGCCACATCGACTAGCGGGCTGCGGCTTTAGGGCTTGACAATCTCCGTAGCATCAGAATGCGTTCAAGCTGAGCCGCTGGGTCGGAAAAAAATGAATAGCAAGTTGTCTCGTCTTCGTTCCTTCTGTCCACCCTGAGCCGGCAATTAAAAAGTGACCTTCGGTAACGTCGGTGCGGACCAGACGCCGTCGGATCGATCCGGCTTGGTGCGGATGTGATCCATAGGAAGTGACCCTCTCTCGGACACCCGGTTAAATGCGAATACAACCGAGCCGCTGTAATTGTTGAGCGAGGGTTCCTTGGTCTCATTCTTCTTCCTCCTTGAGGAATCGGGGGTTTCTGGGGCCGATAATTGGATGGCGCCGTTCTGATCAATCGGCGCGAGATGGCGATGCAAACTCGTTGGGTTATTGATTGTGTGTAACGATGTCGAGCAAACTGTATTTTAATGGGGAAAAATGAAAACATTTGTTGTTGGGGTTTATTGGAAATAATGTAATATTGGTTTGTCGTTCTTGACCTGGAAAGTTTGATTTAAGCAAGATAGATGAGACGCAGTCGAAGGCTTGAGGGAAACAGGTGCTCAGCTGGCTTCATCTTTTTTCAATTTGCAGATTTACATTTATTAAATAGTCATTAACTGAGGAAAATGCCAAGTTTCTCTTTCCAGCCTCTTGAAATATGAGAAATTTCTCTTTTTCTCTGTTTAATATCATTGTTAGATGAATATCCGGCGCTTGGGTCCTTATTTTTTTTTTTGCCACCTTTTGTCATTTGAGTTTCTCACAATTTGTGACCTTTTATTCTTCACGTAATAGAGACACGAGTGGTAAAAAAAGAAGTTGAGATTAACTGGAAACAAACACAGTCACTTACTCCACGTCACCCCTTTGCCAACGGGACCAATAACCCCCCTGACAAGCGGCGCTGTCGTGGCAGGTAACCTTTAAGCAATGGAAGCCAGAATAAATAAACTATAGCCAGAGACACATTTTGCCATTTGTGGGCCTATAAAAGTGCGTTTAATGCCAGATACTCCATGCGTAAGGCCCGGGGGATTACTTGGACAACGTCTCTCTATGTCTGGATGCCAAAGACTATTTGTGTGTCCTGGGAAATAGGTATCGTCAGGATGGGGGGGGGGGCTGTGGTGCAGCGAGATAAGAGACTAAGGAAGAAGAAATGAGCTGCAGAACAATCAGAATCAATCCTCATTTGGTGAATTAGTCTGCTCTTCTTGCCCAATGAAATGACCTTCATCCGTGCAAATCCAATTTGAGTCGCACAGATTTTCATTTTCATTCTGATGGACATTGACGCAGCGGAGAATGAGGCACGGTGGGACGGCAAAATCCATCTCGGAGGTGTGTGTGTGTGTGTGTGTGTGGGATTTTACCCCCGTTCTCATGCCTCTGTCACTGTCTCTTTTGTCAATGCCATCACCTCGCTCCCTGTCTCTTCTTTTCCTTTGACATGTCTCTCTCCCCCTCTCTCTCTCTCTCCCCCTCATCCCTCCTCCGGGCTTCAATCTTTCATTTAGCAATAAGCTGCAAGGTCAAGAGACCGAAATAGAGAACATCAACCGGAGCATTTCTAATTAGCTGAAATAGTCCGTTGGAATGTTCTCGGTGCATCGGGTTGGGTCTCGTCATCCTTCAGTGGACGAACACTTGCCAAAGAGCAGTGACCAGCAGGGAGGCCGTCTAGCTGAGGAAAACAAATGCCTGCTCCCGGCCAAAATAAACACCTTTTTGGCAAAGCAACACTAAGGGAAAAGGAGATCGGAGGCAAGTACGTGGAAATGTTCACCAGCTGAAAGTTCACAGTTGCACAGTGAAGTCGCTCTACTGTACAACCATTAGCTCCTCACAGACTTTGCTGCACAGGTTTGTTCCACCATCACTCGGGTTCATATTGAGCTTTTACCCCAGCGTGTGGGGGTACTTACGTACGTGTTCTAACATGCTTGTGTGCAGCGGGTTCCCACGGCAACCACGTTAAAGTGGATAGAGATACAGACGGATGTCACGGCGTAAATAGAGATAGATTTACTGACAGAAGTATCAGTTCCATAAAATTCCCCCGCAGTTCCTGAGCATCTGCTAAACAAAGCAGTTGCCAAGCAACGGACTCTGGGGTCAGTGCCCAGTCGTTTAAATAAAGTGTTGTGCAGCTGGAGAGGTGAGTCCACGTGGCTCCGAACGGCGGCTCCGTGTGTCACAAACTCCTCTATTTCTGTTGTGAGCATTTTGTGGGAAAACTGCCAAAAAAGTACCGCTCGCCTCCGTTTGCGGCTATTTGGGCGCTGAGAGCCGCAGTCAGACCCGCTGGACAGCTCGTGCACTTTTACCAGCGCCGCACTACGGTTGTGTTGCTGAAATCACCATTTAAATTTGCCGATCGTCATTACACATTGCGTAAAATGAGAATTAATTAAGTTAATTAATCCAAAGTCGACAATGCATTCCTCCAGCACCAGAGTGGTCCCTGCAGAATGACTCTATTCAGTCATTATGTGAACTCTTTTCAGATGTTCTGGTGCATTTCCAATGAATCACTACTTGTAAAATGTCCCAAACGGCACATGGGCCAACATCTGTCGCCTCTGGCCGCCGTCCTGGTGACTCAAACAGGAAGTGGTCGAGTTCAAACGATCCCCGGCTGCATGGGAGTTCTGTGGTATCAGTGTTGTGCGTCGGTGAGGCAGCGCAGGTGAAGTGTGTTTGTGTGTTCACACTCGAGTGGACGCACAAGAGCTCGTAATCTCTGCAGCGTGTTCAACACAAACACACACAACTCGCAATGCAACGCACAACGCACGCCGTCTACTCTGAAGTTGATTCCGCGCCACTCCAGGAAGTGTGTGTGTGTGTGTGTGTGTGTGTGTGTGTCTTCATCCTCACCAGGCAATAACCTGCTAAGCCCAGATCACACTTTTCTCGTGATTTTAAAATAAACCGTTTGTTCAAAAGAGCAACAGAACGCAGTCGCTTTACTTCGCAAAGGGAGAAGCGAAGGGAGGTCGATAATCTCGTCTTTGATTCGGGGGGGGCTTTATGTGCGACTATTGTTTGCTCACTCCTTGACTTAATGAAGCGGTTACGATTGAATGTCAAAATCTTTCATTTTATTTACCTATTTCTGGACGTCTTTGACCCATAAATCCAGGCTAAGCTTCTGACTCCTCTCAGAATGTACCAGAAACTCCTGTTCTTGGAGTCATGAAGAAAAACTAGAGCGTAAAGACTTGAACCCGTAACCCTTTGACAGACGTCCTTCAACTACCTCTTTAAAATCCCTTCCCCTATAATTCTCTTTGCCTTCAGTATGAAGACACACGCCCTCAACAATGGATTTGGAATAAAACCGTAATTTATTCATTTATTCTTTGAGGTCTTAAATGACCTCAGACTCGGGGCATGAAAGCCTTCAGTGCAAGACGTGTCTCTACAGGACGACGCACGCCGCTCCTCTGTGGTCAGAAACAGGTCTGTTGATTTTATGAAACCAAGACAAAATGCAGAAGTGTCCCTGGGATTTAAGAGAGAAACGTATCTGGATTTTCATTTGTCCTCATCTTGTCCAGACTGCATTACCGCACTGTGTCTGTTCTGCAGAGACGGCCTGTCTCTGCCGCTATATTTACTCTGGCAGAAAAACCCACAATGGAACAAAAAAGTATTGCGAACAGGATGCCTGTAGAAAACCCCCACAATGCAATATGTCTCGTACCTGCCGGTGACTGAGCCCGTGTGTGAAATCCTGATTTCCCGCTCGCTTTAAAGTAAGCTGCTGAGTGTGAGACGGCCGTCTCTTCTGTGCGTGATCCATCCATCCACCCACCCACCCCGGCAACCACGCCTGCTCCACGGCAACGACCAATAATCAACCAACGCTTTGCCTGCAGGTCGCCGGTGATGGCGGGCGGACTCTTTGCTGTGGACAGGAAGTGGTTCTGGGAGCTGGGAGGATACGACACGGGGCTGGAGATCTGGGGAGGAGAGCAGTACGAGATCTCCTTCAAGGTAAACCTTCAACACAAACTTTCCAAGTCCTTAAAGTGTCCTTCGAAGTTTGTATTCAGTCTGTGTACATAGAAGCAGTATTTAAATTGGCTTTATGTAAAAAAAAAAACAACACAGAGCCGTTTTGACTTGATTTGCATCACCATCTGCTGTGTGTTCAATATTTTGTTCGCATTAATTACACACTGACACATTCTGCACGCGGCACGTTTATCTCATTAAGAAGAATACATAGAGATATGACCGTTAAGCTGATACGTTTGTACTGTAAGCGTAATGCCCTGCCCTACTTGAAAGGTTCTGATGCTGTTACTCGAGCGGTTTTATTCCCAGTGCATCGCCCAGCGGGACCGGCAGGCTTGTTGGATCTTGTGCACATGACGTACGTCTCTGGTTCTTCCAGAGCTCCTTCTAGTTAACCAGCAATTACTCACTTAGAGCCCGAGATGCATTTGAACGCGTCTTTATTGTGACATTGAATTGCTTTTTAAGGAGCAAACGGTTTGTTCCACATCTTTCTCCTAATGATTTATCTGTTTATCCGCAGCTCCTCAACTAAATAGCTGAAGGGAGAAAAAAAAAAAAGAAAACGTTGAATCTATTCCTCATTATGGTTTCCGCTCCTGTTTCAGTCAGTTGAGCTGAACCTACTCTGCGGCTTGGAGGACTCCACATTAATCACACTCAGCACGCCGCATTAGATCATCCTTTTGTCTGGTGCTTCGCCATGAATTATTCCGGCGCGAAGCCCGTAGCTGCTCGCGACTCGTCCGGCATGTTAAGGACGAGCCTCCCCTCCGTCGGACAAAGCGGCCCCGTCACAACCGTTTCATTCCGGTTTTGGACGTCTCGGGTCTTTGGTCGTCTCACTCAATTAAGCACAAAGGCGACCGCCGGGGTTAATGTGGTTTGATCGCACCTTTCTGTTACGTCCCACCGTCCGCCGCTTCGCCGTATTTAATGTGTTCACGGCGTCACTCTGCTGCTCTCGTTACCTCATGTGCGGGATTCTGTCAAACAGCTGGATTTTCATAAAACTAGAAGGAAAAAAAAGCCCCATAGGACGAGGAAGAACCTTGTAAGTTGCAAAATGGTGAGTGGGCTCGCCACGCTCGGGCTCGCTGCGATCGACGGGTCCCTTCCACGGCCGCGGCCGTACAACGGCGTCCCTACGCCCCTCCTCCGCACTCCAGATGTCGCAACATCCGAGCGCAGCCCGGGCGCGGTGAGGCTTCGGCGGCTGTCCACCGACCATCGGGTGACGTCGCCATGACTACGTCTACTCCTTCTGTGCAGCCAGAAGCCGTCCGATCGATCCCGCTGAAGTGAACGCATTCACCGGCGACTGAATGTCGCCTTCAGTAGCTTGTCTTTTGAAAAAGGTCAGTATGGATTGATTTGAATATGGCGCGTCGTACGCTGCGATGGCGTGGCTTCACGCTGCGTGACCGGAAGGCAGCAGAGGAGCCTCTGCTGTTGAGCTCGAGCGCTTCAGTCTGGGATGAAGACGGAGGGAGGGATTCGGCACAGCAGGTCAGACAGCGAGATGTGGAGAGGGTGGATTCAATCTGTTACCTCCCCCGCAAACCCCCCCCCACACCCCCCACACCCCCCGGTGCTGTTTGTCCAAGCTGGACTGGTGCAGCAAACTTGACAGGGAGTAATTGAATTGAAATGGAAGCCAGCTGATGTCCACTTTAGAGGATCAGGAAGGGGACTGATGCAGAATAACAACAGACTGCCTGGAAATAATCAAGCCCAAAAGGAAAGTCCATCTGGGAACCACCACCAACAACAACAACAACAACAACAAACAATGATCCTCACGTCATCGACCCGCTGAGCTTCTGGAGACCTGTTTACACCTCCACGTAGATCATATCCAAAGTCCCAGTAGGAGTGGGTGGAGGACGGCGTGCTGCAGGGTGGAGAAGAAAAGAACAACACACAGTTGTTGTGAGAGTCACAAGAAGCCTCCTGCAGAACGGTTAAACAACGTGCACGTTGGGCATGTTTCCCTTGAATAATAGAGAAAACACACACTGATTTTAAGTTTTTGATTTACATTCGTCTCTTTAAGAGAAACGACCTCAGACTCGCCAACAAACATTTTGATAATCGATCATTTAAGGTTGTTTATCAAGTCAAAGGGCCAAACGTACACTGAAATGCATCACGTCTTCCCCAGAAGACGTAAGCGCAACAAATCCAATTTGAGTCATTCAGCTGAGCGTGATTGACTGGTCCGTTGGTCTCTACGAACACGTCGACGTTCCCTCACGTCACATACGATGGATCCTGGTCCTCAACACGAGTCCGACTGCACGTCCCCTTCTGTCCACCATATGTCCCACTCCTTCAGTCTTCCCCTGTCTTCACCTCCTGACCTTGCTGTTCCCTCATCACGTCTTTTCTCTCTGTGATTGTTTTAACCTCGTCTTATATTCTATCGCCGCTGAATGTCTCTCTCTCTCTCTCTGCGTCTCTGTAGGTGTGGATGTGTGGCGGCCGCATGGAGGACACCCCCTGCTCCCGGGTAGGACACATCTACAGGAAGTACGTCCCCTACAAAGTCCCCGGTGGGGTGAGCCTGGCCAGGGTGAGTCTCCGATCGCTTCCATAGACCTTTTGTTACCGTGTCTATTCGCGCGACATCTTTACAATGAATGAGTCCTTTAAATTTTAGGGGCATTCTGGTAAAAACCTTTTTCATCAATTGATCCAAACGGTAAGATACAACTGTGTTTTTAACTCTCTGTAATATCAACGCCAGTGTTGGTATCATTTATTCAACGCGAGGTGCGACGCCTCGTGAGGAATTCTCAAAAAGCGTTTCCTCTGGCCGGGAACATCCGTCGTTCTGCACGACTCGGCCTCACACCTGGCTCCGTTCGGCTCGGCTGAATGCGTAAATCGAACCTCTTGGTCTGTGTTTTCGCCCCGTTGGACTGACCATTAGCCCCCTTCGCTGAGGCCGCACTGAATGCTGATGCAATAAGCCTTCCTCAGGCTGTGAGGATGATGAGATGTCCCCCGTGTGCTTCATAGCGGAGCTCTTTCCCTTGAACTGATTGGATGAGACCGATGGACACTGCTGATGAACACAGAGGAGGATTTAGCAGCCGGAGGGTCTGAGGGCACATTTGGCGCCGACAAGGAAATGAAGTTGCTCCATCTGAACCACTTGATGCAAGTTTAATATCATTTAGTTGATCACACGATTTTGAACAGACGGTTCAAAGACAGTTGACCTTTACCAGGAAGTCAATGTCTCACAAAAACAAAGCAGGACCAGACAAGAAGTCATTGAATGCTGCATTAAAAGGTTCCTTCAGCCCATTGTTGTCGGTTTAATATCATAAGAGGATAAAAGCAGTAATGAGACCCATAATGTTCCACTACGCTGCTTCAGTACCAGAACACATCTGTGAGTAGAGGCACGTCCGGTCGCCGTGGAGGGGGAAGGAACCGGTGAACTCCACTTCACCTGGAGAGCCCGTTCCCCCTGCAGGCAGGCAGCTACTCATCTGTGTGTTTGTGGCTGCCGGGATTCTTTAGTGTTTTTTTTTTTTTTCCTGGACCTTTTGTATTTATACTTCCCTGGAAGCCGTATCGTCTCCACTTTACCTCCACGGCCGCGACCGTCCGTGTCCTCGGGGCGCGCGTTCGCACCTCACAGGACGAGCGGCCGCGTGTTTTTTTTATACCGCTGAGATCCGCTGAGGCTTCTGACGGGTGGATTTCCCATTACTCGAGTTTTAAATCTTCCATGTTTGCAATTGTCTGAGCCCGGGGAGCCTGTTGGGGATCTGTCTGCCCTGCAGCCATCACTGCTTACAGCTTCCGCCACCTGCTCATCTTTCCCTCCTGCTGCACTCGTTGCCGTCAGCACGCGTTTTGTGTTGAGTTTTCTGCAGGTAATTCCGAGTTGCATTCTACGCGGCCTCGTGCAGAAGACGCTCATGACACAATGAAAAGGAAGTTAAGAGGTGAAAGTAGAGCCAAAGATGTGCAGGTTAGATACAAAACCTGAAGGAGACTCTCACCCAAAATGCAAACAAAGAAATGTGCTCACATGCCTGCAAATGCTTTGGGTGACGTGAGCTCTCAGAGCGGCGCTCTGCATCTCCCTGCTATTCTCGTATGCAGCAAGAAGACCGCTTAGTAGATCTTTCTGTCTTGACACTTTCCTTTTTCTTTTTACTTGTTTGGTACAGTTAACGTGGTTTGACTTTCACTCTCATGCTTTGCGGGGATTTGCACTCTGTCTTCCCCAGAAAGCTGCTTTAAATCCTCCTGCAGGCTTTTATCATCAATATCGGCAAAAGAAAAACTACTCTTGTGTTGTTACTAACAAATATATATTCTGTATCTGCCTCCTCCAACACTTTTATTGGGTTACACAGAGCCAGACATCAAACACACAGGATGTTTTACACATTTCCCACTGGTGCAGTCCGACTTGTGTGATGTTTGGGGAGCTACTGGAATTTAAAATCACGTCCTGGGTTTGAACAACTAGTCTCTATTTGGTTCTCTGGTCCGACCGACCAGCCGCCAGGTCAACGTGGAGCTTCTGTGCAGCCTTTTGCAGAGAAAACAGAGAAGCCGGGAGGCTTTGCCTCATAGGAAGCTGAGACTGCTTTCGTTTGATTGGTTGTTTTCATCCATCTCCGGCCTCCTGGGACGGGACGGAGGGTCCTGTGTGGCGGCGGGACGCCTTCCTACCTGCCGCCTTTGACTGTTATGTTCTGTCAGATGAGCTAGAGCCTGGAGGGCGACGTGACGTCCAGAAGCTGAGGGACATTTTACGCGCCGGTCGAGTTTAGCGTCCACAATGATTGGCACGACACATTATTAGAAAGCATTGAACTGCTGCTTTAAACGAAGCGGGTTCCTCTCCCGACTGCAGAACCTGAAGCGCGTGGCGGAGGTGTGGATGGACGAGTACGCCGAGTACATCTACCAGCGCCGGCCCGAGTACCGCCACCTCTCCGCCGGAGACATGACGGCCCAGAAGGAGCTGAGGAGCCGCCTCAACTGCCGGAACTTCAAGTGGTTCATGAGCGAGGTGGCCTGGGATTTACCCAAACACTACCCGCCGGTGGAGCCCCCTGCTGGCGCCTGGGGAGAGGTACGCGCACAATGGGCGACGTAGGATGAAGATATTTGTTACGTCGCATAAAACCAAAGACAGCCGCTTGGACAGGATGACAAAGTCGTGAAACCAGAGATTTGATTTATTAGTTTTTGTTTCAGCTGACATTTAAAAAAACCCCAAAACAAGCTGTTATTGGATCTTGAAGACCAAGTGGAAGCTGATTGGCCGTCCTTTGCGTCACAGATTCGCAACGCGGGCAGCGGCAACATGTGCATGGAGAGTAAACACTTCACGTCGGGGAGTCCCGTCCGCCTGGAGAGCTGTGCCAAGGGCCGGGCCGAGGTGAGCTGGGGCCACGGACAGGTGAGCTGCCGCTTCACACACATCGGGAGTGTCTCAATGAGGCAAAACATCAACCGCAACGCTTTGCACCTGAAAGATGAATTTGTATTATTTGCTAACACAGGCAATAGGAGGAAAAAGTCCGATGGAAACTCTCATCGTCATCTCTTGAGATCAAACTTTTGTTAATAGACCTGCTGAGTCTCTTTAGTAAATCTATTTCTTCTACTAAATAAGCATCCGTGTCAAATGAACGGCAGGCGCGCTGCTTCATCATCACCGCATTGTTCTCAAGGACTTGTTCCCACTGAAGACCTTTAAGCCGAGCTCGTAATACGACCTCAATGTCTCCTCTTGTCTCTGCAGCTCTGACATTTTAAGTTCCCTAATCTGAAGATGCACTGTTTAATCTGTGTTGCAGTTGCAATCTGTATTCATCTCCAGTGAGGAATTGATTCGCTGTGTGTGGGGGGGGAGCAACGCATTTAGGAAGTCTAGAAAACGTGTTGACGTTGATTAATAAGCGACGACAAGATTTCCAGGTCTTTGGCCAAAATAATAAAGAGACTATTCACGCATCACCAGCAAACTTTCAGCAAAGGAAAGGTGAGACGGCGGGGACGGGACGCCCCCGGAGGACGGAGCCTTTTGTCTGTTTTGAAAGTGTCGTCTGCCTCCCGCAGGTGTTCACGTTCGGGTGGAGGGAGGACATCCGGGTGGGCGACCCCATGCACACCAAGAAGGTCTGCTTCGACGCCGTGTCCCACAACAGCCCCGTCACCCTGTACGACTGCCACGGCATGAGGGGCAACCAGCTGTGGCGCTACAGAGAGGTGCGGCCCGACCCCCCCCCGTCCCCCGCTCCCTTCTTTCAATGCTCGAAAACAACAAAGCAACTGCTTCAAAATAAATGACTTCCAGGCTGCTTAATCATTCTATAACGTTGTGCATATTTAGACAGTCGCAGGCCTCGAGCTGCTGGATATTCAAAGGACCTCATTATGCTGCAGCATTTAAGCTCAGTTAATAACAAAAACATGCCATCAGGAGGCCGCGTTTTATTTCTGTAACACTGGAAGGGTCGCGACACAAATACCAGCTTATTTGCTACAATAAACCAGTAGAAGAATTACATTTTATGACAAATGCGTTGAGAAACATTTGTGTCAATGCCGTTTTCGGTGTGTTTTAAACCTTTATCTGTTTACTCTTCTGCTCATAAAATGTTAAAGGTAAGAATCAAATGTCATCATCATGCTGTGAGGGATTCAAAAGGTGTAAATGTAAGTTTAAAGCTATTTCATGTGCTCATTTCTAAAAGCTTAATTAACGGACCAACAAAGGTTGTTCTATAGTTTCCTGTAAAGTAATGATTGTGCGACCTTATGTCTGAACCCCCTGCGTCCGTGGTACCAGAGGAGGGCCGGAACAGTCAAGCTCACATATTTATTTGGAGTTTTTTTCCTGACATTTGTTTACTTTTCTAACACATTGTGATAACAAAAAAGCACAAAACCTATTGGAAAATGTTCTTTCACTTTTCTCGCGATAACAAAGCGAACAACGTCCCTACAGAATGATGAAGTCCACAAAAGGTGACTCGGGCCTCGGGCTCCGTGGGTGCGTCTCATAACGCGACGTCCTGTTCCTCCGTCCTCCAGGATAAGAGCCTCTATCACGCCGTGAGCAACAGCTGCATCGACTGCAGCCCCAGCGAGCGCCGCGTCTTCATGAACACCTGCGACCCGTCCTCCCCCAGCCAGCGGTGGCTGTTCGAGAGGACCAACGCCACCGTGCTGGAGCACTTCAACCGGGGCGCCGCCTGAGGCGCCGGCCGAGGAGCTGCTGCTGCTGCGAACGCTGACCCTTGGGAGGGGGGAGGGGGGGCACGGGAGAGTAACTCTTGATGGATGTGGGGAGGGGGGGGGGGGTTTGAAGGTGGTTGCGTGTGTCCGTTTTCTCCCCCCCTGCACAGCATTATGACTTGTCCCTCTCGGGCTGTCCTCCGTCTCTCTCCCCCTTTCCTGTCTCTCCTGGTCCGGCGGCCTCTGCACGTCCGTCTCTATCTGCCTGCATGACTGCACTTTGGCCACCTTCTCTATTCTCCCTCTCAAACCCCCTCATGTCTCTCCAGCTCTGACAACCTCCCCTGGGGAGGGTGTAATGTGGGGCAGGGAAGGGGGGGGGGGGGGGGACCGTAGTGCTCCTGCTGAGCCAAAGTCATCCTGACACCTGGGTGAAGCCAGGCAGAACCACTCTGAAAATCACCTGTTGAATTAATTCTCTTCTTCAACCCTCAACCATGTGCCCTCCGTCCCCCACTAATGCCCCCCCCCCCCCACACACCCTGGTTTCTAGTTGTCTGGTCTCTCTGTGGGCCGAGCTGCTTCGAATGTGGCAGGTGGAAGTTGACAAGCCCCGCCCCTCCGTGTTTATCGATGAGTCATCACTGTGCCACTCGCTGCTGTCGCTCCCCCAGCGAGGGCGAGTGCCTCCTCGCCCTCGCTGGCCCGGGGCTTGTTTGTTGTCACGGTGGGAGGGTGCTGTCACACCTCTTAAGAGTGCCCCCCCCCCCCCCCCCTATCCCGCTGTCTGTTTCCCCACAAGACCCCCCCGCAACACACACACACACACCCTCCCTCCCCCCACCCGATTGGCCGGCCGCCGACACACCGCTTCAGAGTACAGTGCGAGCGGGGCGAGGCGGACGGGGGAGTTACTCTGGATATCTGTGAAGCACTTGTGTAACGATAAACTTGAATGAAATTATTTGTGCCTTGTTGGAAATGGATTAGATGCAAATGTGTGTATTTTTAGAAAGTGTGTGTGTGTGTAACTGTGTGTGTTCCCAACGGGGACAATTCACTGGATTCAGCTGGAGAACTTTTGACAGCGAGAGTTCTGCAGAATCACGTGACTCGTACCAGCGAACACACGCACGGAATGGAGCTCGAGATGGTTTCTATTCCCCACGATCTTTTCCTCCTGCCTTGAAACGTTCACTAAAGCCCTGAGAAAACCTCTGTCCTCTTTTAATCACGATAAGATGCTGTTGTTACTTTTCCCCCCTCGTTCAATCCAAAGTACTTTCATGGGGAAGGGAATTGCTGTTGTTGTTGTTTACCACCTTTTTTAAAATCTTTATTCATGTTCTCTTGTCGTTTGTTTCGGTCCGGGGGTCCGGCTGATGAGGATTCAGTGTCCTGCTCAGCGGGATGTTCTGGTCCGTCCTCTCATCCCGTCATGTGAAACAGACCGACGCGCAGCGTGCGTGACATGTTTGTCGTCCCTTCCGGGTTTTAACAATCAGTTGTAGACCAAAACGTAATGTCGTACCCTCGACGCGCTTCAGTCGTTTTCATTTTTACAGTCATTTCAATTGAGCCCAGTAATGAAAGCGGAGCTTCGCTGATGATTATTTAAACTTTAAAATCTCCAGAAGATACCTGAGTTGTAAAAATAACTAAGTGAAATTAGCTCAGCTAGTGCTAGTTAGCCAGCTAGTGCTAGCAATCTTGTATTGGTCAACTAGCTAGCTAGAAGCTCGTTAGCAGTAGAGCTATAAATAGCTAGTCATTTGTCCACAATGTAAAACAGGTGACAGCGCTCTACATATTTGAAGTCCTGACCCTGAAATCACGATGGGAGATTTTTGAAATTGAAATCTTTGTTTGGGTGTCGTTCGTCACGTCATCCTTCTGTAGCGACACGCATGGACACCGTGTCCACTGCTTGTTAAGACGTGTGTAGGAAATAATGCTGTTTCAGACCACGTGGTGATTGATGTTTCCACTGCGGGACCAAACTGTGCAGCCGGCCGACCTCTGACCCGGACATACCCTGTTTTTCTGTTCCAGTTGTCTTAAATTACTGTTGGGGTGGCGTGTTGCTGTCTTGTTCAATCATGTGAGCTGAATGTGAGTGACTGAGGGTCGTCTTTAACTTGTCTCCCGTTAGCTGAACCTTAAATGGATGAAATGGCCGGTGAAATATTGCACATTGTCCAGATAAAGCTCTGCTGAACTGCTACGTGGTTTGGAGCATTTTATCCTCTTTTTGCCCCCTTTCAGTTTTGTTGATAATCGGTCTCGTTACCTCCTTGTAGCCGGAAGCTTTTTCCCACCAAATATCTGATTAAACTCCCTGTATGTCACCGGCCCCGGTCCAGAGCGCGGACGGGTAAAAGCACCGACTATCCGGGGCACGTTTGGCAGTGAGAGAGGCCTTCAAGCAGCAGCTCAAGCAGGTGCTGTTCGCTGTAAGCGGCTTCTCGGCGAGTTTCAGTTCACAGCCAACAGACGGCTGGTTTACAGAGCGCAGCCTCCTCGGTAATTACTCACAGAAACGCACGGCTCAGTTCCTCCGGCTGGCGTTCAGTCGGCGCGACTCTTTAATAGAGTCTCTTCGTGAAACACCCGCAGACAGAGCGGTTCTGTTCGGTGGGGGGGGGAGGAACGTCTGTGCCATCGGCGCGCTTCACAACAACGGCTCTGTGGGGAAAGTGGATGACATATTGGCCGGGATGTTGCTAAACGTGACCCTTGAAGTAAAGTTTTCTAATTGGGACGTGCTTAGAGATTTAAAGTGTGTTTATATTTCATCAAACTGGATCTTGGCTTAAGTCTAAATGGTGTCTGCTTACATTTGCTTTATTCCAGCTGTGTTTTAAGTATCAGCACAATACTTTCCCACAGTTTTCGGAGTAGAGACATTGTAACTGTGCAGTCATTTGTATTGTTTGCTGTGATGTAAAACTACTTTTTATCAAGGTGGACTATAATTGGGTGACCAGTGTAGAGAAATTGTATTTTATTAGCGCAAAGGTTTTTTAATGTCTGCAGCCAGCGTCGGTCTCTCCATGTTGTGTACGTGAGTGTGAGGTGGAAGTGTGCGTTTTGTATCTCATACAAAAAAAAAAAATCTCCCAATATTTTTTTCTACTCACCTTGCAACTGTAAAAGTGTATTTAGATATTTAACAATCTGGAATTGTATGATATTTTTGCTGAGACTGTAAAATAAAAAGTTTTCTATATTTGGATGAAAACGTGTCTTTATGAACATAAATAAATAATATAAACTTGATGAATACAGTGATGAGAACATTCCACCACGTTGGAAGAGCCTTTATTTTTGCCGTTGCTGTGATAAGTAATACCAGTCGTTATTTAAAGCATGCCGACTAAATGCCAAGAAATCAAATCAAATGTAGTTTCGCATTTTAATGCGCAAAATGTCGGATGAGTGGAACTTGTCCTCCAGGCTTTCACCTTCCTCCCACAGCTGGAGGACGACCGGAGTCCATCACGGAGCAAACAAACCCGCTTCCTTCTTCTGATTCCACCGGTTTTCTCATCTGAACTTCACCAGCAGAGCTCTTTTGGGGTTTTTGGGGCGACTGCAGAGCACCAGGTGGCCTGAGAGGCTCCTCATTCAGGCCCCAATCATCCTGCATAGATGGACCCCCTCCTCCCCACCCTCCCCCCTCCTCCCCCGCCTTGTCACTTCTCGTTGAAGGTTTTGTATCACTTAAATCGCTTCTGGGACTGATGCTGCAAAAACACACTTTTTCCCCCCCAAACGTTAATCCCATAATCGTTTCCCCCGGCAACCCGCTGGCTCCTGACAGCTTTCAGGTTTCAGTGATTAATTCGGGGCTGAAGCAGTGCTGCTCGTGCTGGTTGGCCCGTTTCTCCCGAGTCTCCTGGGACGTCACACGATGCTCAACTTGTCTCAGCGGCTCTGGAGGAGGGAGACTATTTACAACCATCGTAGCTCCATGTTGTTAGTTACGCAACCACTGTGAACGGCGTGAACAGTTTAGCAGTAAAATGCTAATTCAAATTGAATTTTTCCTTTTATTGTATTGTTATTGAAGCAGCATTTTTAAACATCTCTGGATGTGCAAAGCGACGTTCTGCTTTCAGCAGGTTCTTTTTCTGCCTGATGGTTTTAGCATCCATATTTATTTTCAGTTAATTAGTAAATAATCAGCATTCCTTCAGCCTCATGAGCTGTAACTGAGACGGATGTCGGGCCATTACATTAGCACAGTGTTTCACTGAAGGTTTCCATTAAGGTTCTTTATTGGCCTCAGCACTATTATAAAAGGAAAAAGGCAATCCAATTGTCTCTCATAATTCACTAATGCCCCTGAGAGAATGCAGTAAAATGGAAAGGTGTTTGAATGAGTGTCACATTTCCACGCGGCTGTGTGGATGAACGTGATTTTCTTTTTTTTCTCTCGTCATTGTGGAAGAGTTAAAATTTGGAACATGAGGTGCGTGAAATTTGATTTTTCTTCCCACGATTTAGCTCACAGATGCTAACAGACGTACCCAATCAAACAATGCTTTACTCACCTCCACTTGTACATCCGGCTCTTATACGTTCATTCACTCATCACTAGCTAACCAAAATATGAAAAACAATCCACCGCGCGTCTGAATTCAACACTGATTTATGTGCCAATCAATCGGCTCGTGTTGCCATGACGCTTTCGACCCCTGCAGACAAAAGTGCGTCAGTGAGCTAACGGCTAAGCAGCTGCGGCGGTTTCCTCCTTAATAAAGCGTCTGCACATGAACATACTGGTTCATTAATGGTGGATTTAGTCTAATCAAAGTGAGCAAACAACAACGTTATCATTGAAACTGCGCTCAGCAGACGCCTGGTTAAAGATGAACAAAACTATCAGCGTCTAAAGTGACTTTATCTTCGGTTTATTGTTTTGGCTTTTCGACTCTTCTTCCTTTCATCGACCCTGTTGCCAAGGTAGCGTGCTGATGTTTTCATCAAAAAAGGCTCAGACAAATCCAGACGGCCGGCGCTCTGCAATAGCAGGTGAACGTCGGAGAGCATTTAGCAGACAGATCGGCAGATATTTCCCCGGGGGGGTGTGGGGGGTCGGAGGAGAGCGGCACCGAGCTGGGAGAGTTCATATTGGACCCGCGTCTGCAAGTAAGCATGAAACACGAGTCCCACGAGAAAGCCGCCGCTCTACAGGCCTCAAGGATAAACGAATCAATGCATGCATGTTCGCCCAGTGCTTCACACGCCTGTAATAATGAACCACGGGTTCACATGGGAGGACGGATCCAACAGACCCCGGGACGGAAAAATCACAAACCCCAATGTTGTTCCCGGCCGACAAGCCCTTCGCCTGCAAGGAGCTCTGACGTGACGACGGCAGGGCGGTTTTAACGCCGCTGCATTGATCAGATTAAAGGTCTGAACATTTGTTTTTTTTAGGATCATCACGCATGCCGATAAACGCGGGGCGTTATCTTTCTTTTTTATCCGCGTCTCGCTGGGCCGCTCGCCGTTGATGAATGGGGCCCATTGTGATTCTCTGGCGGTCGCTGTGGCCGCGGCGTGCAAAGAACGGCGCGAGTCCCCATCGATTCCTGTCGAAGTGCAGCTGTGGAGAGAAATGACATCCATCATTGTCCCGGGCCGGCTGCAAAACATCAGAGTCGATAAAGCTTCAGGTCGACGTGTACGCCGAGCGCGGTTTGGAGAAACGTTGTGAAAGGGCGTGACGTGGACATATGCTAACGATGGAGAAGTGAGTAATCCTTTTTTCTCTGCATGAAAGGATTACCAGGAGCCCGCCTGGCATTTAAATATTGCCTGGGAAGTGAGAGGATGCAGATTTGCGCTCGGAGCGCGCGGCTTCACTTCCGACCGCACGGGTTAAGTCTTCTAATCGCTGAGCTTCGATCCGGGGACTTGAACTAAATCCTCGACAACTCCAAGTTAAAACACATTATCCATCTCAACTCGTCGACTACGGGGAGCCTTCTGCAGCCGTATCTGATGCCCGGGGAGTGTCACCTTCGCTTGGACTTTCTGAACCCCTCTCTGGCCCACTAATTCACCCCCAGGTCTGAGTTTCATTTTTTTCGGCAAAACTCTAATTTCTGAGATCTGGATGGTGTGAAGAGGCCTCCAAAGGTCGTATTTGAGTCGATGATGTGTGGCTCTCTGTGGTTGGTCAAAGAACGGCCGTGTTCTAAATGACGTACCTGTGATATTGTTCATAGATATCATCTCTCAGATAATGTCACCCGTGTGGATTCTTTCAACATCGAGGAAAAGAAAATGTACAAATGTTTTGTAACATTTCATATTTTAGTTTGAAGGCACCGCCTGAGTGATCCAGGGATATTATCATTTCGATGAAGTTTCCCTTCTCGCGTCACCCGAGTGATAATAATCTCACAGATTTATGAGAGGACGTCTCAGGAAGCCATTAAAGCGAGTATTATTTGGACAATGGATATCAGATGGAAGTGACAAAAATAAACACCTGAGTGAGGGATGAGCCCATCGCTGAGCAGAGGAGATGAGAAGAGAGATATTAATGGACAGCGAAGAAAATGAGATGTGGGCCGAGGGAGACCGGGGGGGCGCAGAGGTCCAGGGACGGCAATCCTCATAATCCGTCCGCAGTGCTGCCCAGGCTTTAGCCAGACCCGGCCTGGATTTATGTTTGTAAAGCTTTGCACAGATAAATAATGATGCAATCAGAAAACAGACACAAAAGGAGAAAGAGGGCCCTCTAAAAAAAAAAAAATACAAAGAAACTCATTTTCTCCCTTATTTTCTTCTCGGAAGGAAGGACGAGATATCAAGGCTGATCTTATCAGCGCACAACTCTCATTACTTCTGAAAATCCATTATTCGTGACTGGACGTTCACAGTTTATTTAATTAATGCAGCTGTTATTTAGACAGGCTTCCATATTGATGAATCCCAAAGCAAGAGCTGACACACCCGGAATCCAACGTACACCGAGGTGAGACGACAACTAGTTCAACGGGACAACAGTTAGACCAAAAGACCTGAAAAAAATGCACGAGAAATGACAATCACAGGAAAAGATGGCGGCCACAGGTGGCGATGAGAGCGAGACATCGCGGCACATCTCGGGTGGATGAAGATAAAGCACAGGGAACAGGTAAAGCTGTTCCAGGAATAAAAGAGACGTGCAGCTTTATTCCCTCGGCGTGCTCGAGCTCATTTCTGCGGATGACTCCTCACATCTGCATCAGGACGCGGCCGCTTTGCAGCGGCGATGTGAACTGACAGCGACACGTGTGGGCGGAGCGACGGTAACGCGAGATGTCACATTCGCTTCTCGTAGCTTTGCGCCGCCTGACTCGTGTTCAAATGCATTTCACCGCTGGTGTCTCCCTGCAGTTTTGGGGGGACGGGGGGTCTCCTCCAATACCAACCAGCTGGGCTCCCCTGCTTCCTCCCAGCGCCGTGGCGTTTACGCCGACTCAGCTGAGCAGTGAATGATGGGAGCTTTAGTCGCGCCGCATGAGCAGTGGGATAAAAGTTCAGCGCAGGCCGCGTGCCTTTGAATACATTTCCGGGCCGTAAATCAATGTTACTTAACATCGGACCTGTCAAGGAAGGGACGTGAAGGACAGATTCAAATTCCCGAGATCAATGGCAATTTACTGAAAATGAATAGCTTCAGGAAATGCTAAAATCATCACCTTCATTGTGAAGGCCTCCGAAGCTAACGACATCCCGATAGGCCACGGCTGTGAGAATGTTAGCATGCTAACACTAGCATTTAGCTCAACGTTGTCTCTTAGTCTCGTTATGAAACCACCTTCGTTGGCTTGTTTGGAGCCACGATTGGAGCCACGGCGAGGGGGGCACAGCGCTCTCTGATGGTCCTTTTGGACTGTCGGGCTGAAAGCGGCGCTGAAAGTACACGCGTCTCATCTGCTTCGATCGCCAGCCGGCGTGGCGGTGGAGAGCTTCTTCCCATCACCTCTAATCGGGGCAGGAAATAGTCATCGAAATCCTGACGTTGGATGGACGCTGACGGGACAGTTATGAAAATAAAGATCCTAATAACACTGTAACAGTCTATTAAAGGGCAACAAACATTATCAAACCATCCCACAGCCTGAGCCGACACTAATCGGGTTGTTCAGGCCCAAAGCTTTGTTGTACCTATTGTTGCCATGGCTACAGAGCAAATCTCTCATCTGGAGCCTGATGATTTCACAAAGTA